CCAGAGTTATTAGGATTCTTCAATTGTATGGATATATCCAGTAAGTTGTCAAGATAACAAAGTCTTAAACAAAAAATGGATTGATAGACATTGGTATCGCTATAGGAGCCATGGGATAAACTTTGTCCAAAAATCATTCCCCTCTATAATCTAAGAATCTACAGATATTTTATAGAAACCGAGAGGTGTTTTTTTTTCTTAGCGTTTTTGTATACATAATTATGTATACCGATGGCAAGTGACCTTAGTTGGCCCTCTTTTAGAAAAACAGACCCCAGGCGCCCGGTTAGCTCAGTCGGTAGAGCTTGGCGACCCCCATATACGCAGTGGCCTGGGTTCAAGTCGACTTGGCGGACCGTTTGCTGCATGTCGTTCTCGTCTCTCTGCCCCCCCTTCCTGCTTCTACCCAGCCATCCTATCAAATAATAGCAAAAAGGCCAAAAAAATAAAACCCTTAGAGAGAAAAACTGAGCGGGTACGACGCAGTCTGAGGAGTCCAATTGCCATCGCGGAAAACGCGTCCAAACACTAGGCAGCCGAAAGGACATGATGCACATAGATGCAGACTAGTCTATATATTATGAGATATAAAGAAGGGGGAGAAAGATACAAATTATGACTTAAAAAAAATAAGATCACCAGCCTAAACTAGGCATTTCTTAACTAGTAACCTGTTGTACTTATGAGCCAAAATTGGTGGAGAAAACTGATTCTACATACTTTGTTTTCGTGTGTGCCCACAGCTCTCCACTAGTCTATACTAACCTATTAGTGTAAAATCTACCCAACTATATGAAAGACTGTATTACACAGAAGCGCAACTACTAAGAGACCTATTATCTCCCGAGCTGTGTATACTCATACAACACGCTTCAACCGTTATGAGGCCTCACGTAGCTAGAGAAGAAATCCTATTACAACACCGATATCGAGAAAGTGCACAATATCAAGATAACTTCAGTTGGCATATCGGATTGATACTAGACGACACCTTAAATATGCGCAAAAAGTTCTTGGCTTAGAACATGTCTAAAAAACACTGTCAGGAGGAAAAAAAGTGGTTTCTGATGAGACCTATATATGAATTGCTTGACAGACCACGATCATCGAAGTATCAATTTCCTAATTTAACATCCAACAAGTACTTTTACTTTTAAGTGCAATCAGTATTTATATAAAGCCGACAAATCTTTCTGCCACATGATTGTTATTTTATAACTTAGTGTTTCATGCTTTGTTTAATATTTTGGATCAGTGTGATGTGTGTTATAATTTGGTAGCTTTTTGCACATTTGTTGCATATGTTACATGTCCGCAATGCTGCTTTTAAATTTAAAAGCCAAAGTTTACATCCTGGTGGATAATTTAGCCGTATTTTGGTGTTTTGTTGTAATTTTGCTGTGAATATTTTCTGCTCTTTTTTGCAAGTTACATTTAGCATACATAAACTAAACATTGCTATTAAAAAAAGAAATCCAGAACATTTTTGGGGGTCATTGAGAAAAAAATATCGCTATAGAGCCATGGCATTAACTTGGCCAAAAATCATTCCTCTATAATCTAGAATCTACAGATATTTTATAGAAACCGAGAGGTGTTTTTTTTCCTTAGCGTTTTTGTTATACATATTATGTATACCGATGGCATGACCTTAGTTGGCCCTCTTTAGAAAACAGACCCCAGGCGCCCGGTTAGCTCAGT